CAAGGTGTTGTCAAGGGTTGGTTCCTTCTGGAAGCTCTGAGAAACACCATGCTGTGCCTCTGTCCTAGCTTCTGGTGGTTGCTGGCAGTCTTGGGCTTGGAGGAGCATCATTTTAATTTCTGCCTCTGTGGCCACTTACTTTCTATCTGGTTCTTTGCATGGCCTTCTTATAAGAACCCCAGTCATTGGATTTAGGGCCCACCGTCAACCAGTATGACCGCACTTTAACCAATTATATCCGCAAAGCCCTTATTTCCAAATGAGGTCACATACTGGAGTTCTGGGTGGACGTGAATTTGTGGGGGGCGTGATTTAACCCAGTACAGCTGGGTGGTGGGGTTTCTGGGGTGGGTCCCTGACTGTCCCTGGCCTCTGCCTCTCTCAGGTGGGCCCTTGAAGATGATGATGCCAGAGAACCTGACGATGGAGCAGGTGGTAGAAAAGAACACCCTGGTGGAGCTGGGCGGCCAATACTGGCCACCCGACTGCTGGACACAGCACCACATGGCGGTAGTGGTGCCCTACTGCGGGCAAGCCCAGCACCTGCAGCACCTGCTCCTCCACCTGCGCCCCTTCCTGCAGCCCCAGCCACTGCACTATGCCATCTATGTAGTGAACCAGGTGCAGCAGGAATGGGGAGGGGCAGGGGCAAGAGAGCAGAGGGGTCTGAGCCTGGCCTTGGAGAGTCAGGGCTGGAGTTGTCAGTCTCTGAGCTGAGAGCGTCTGGGCCAGAGAGTATCCAGCGGGTAGGACTGATGAGTCAAGAAGAACTTGCACTGGGGGAAACCAGAACCAAAGGCTATAGGTTTGGTCTAGACTGGCTGAGTCTGGGATCAGCTTGAATAGCTGTCTAAGGGAAGGGCTCAATACCAGTGAATCTGGGTCTCTCTGAGACCAGGGCTGTTCAGATTGGGCAGTTAACCTAAGGGGTAAATTAAAGCACTGGGTTTGGGGTCTGTTAGGTGCCTGTTTGACTCTTGGCCTTGTCCATTTTTACCTGTGCAATCTGAGGTTGGGACCAATCCTCCATCCATCCATCCATCGATCCATTTATCCATCCATTCATTCAGCACACTGTTACTTAGTATAACTATGTATAAACTTGGGGCATTTATGCTCTGTGCCACTGTTTTCTCATTCATGAGACAAAGATTCACTGAGTTAATGAGTATAAAGCAGTGAAGCCAATGCCTGGCACATAGTAGGTGCTCAATAAGTGACAGCGATAATGATGGTGGTGATTATGATGGTGGTGGTGGTGTTGATGGTGGTGATCGTTAAGGTGCTGCTGCTGCTGCTGATGACAGTGATGATAGTGATGATGGTGGTGATGGTCAAAGTGGTGATGGTCATGATGATGTTGGTAGTAGTGATGATGGAGGTTAGGTGACTATGTTGGTGATGTTGAAGATGATGAAGATAGTGATGCTGAAGATGAACATCGTGGTAATCATAATTGATGATGGTTATGGTTAGGATGGTGATGAAGATGATGATGATGAAGGAAAAAGAGGAAGAGGAGAGGCAAACCCTATCCTGGGCATCATACCTAGTCTTTATCTAGTAGGAGTAGAAACAGAGACACAGGTGGTCCCCAATCACTCCTGACCTCTGCCTTCCTCCGATGGCCTCTGGAAGGTGATGATCCTTGAGAACCTTGAAGATGGCCAAGGAGGGAGAGCTGAGAGGCTAAAGATACTGACTCTGACCAGGATGGGGGTGGGGATCCAAGAAAAGTTTCTCAGGGGAGGTCACCTTTGAACTGCACCTTCCTGGACAAGTCTGGGTTTTCCATCTCCACAGTGGGAATAAGAAGGGGTTCCAGGCAGGAGAATGGCACTTGACAAGGTGAGAGAGGACAGGCCTGGCAGGTGGCGGGGACACCACGGCCTGCGGTGAGGGCAGCGCCGAGCATCTCCGTCCACCGCAGGTGAACAACACTGCCTTCATCTGGGGCAGGCTTCACAGCATGGGGTTCTGGGAGGCCACGCAGGAGGAGGACTGGGACTGTGTCGTCTTCACAATGTGAACCTGCTCCCCAAGGACGACCGCAACCTTTACATCTGTGGCGCCTTCCCTGCCCATGTGTCTGTGGCCATTGACAGGTTCAAGTAGAAGTAGGTGGAGGGAGGGGACCTCCTGTGGGAGACTCTGGGCCAGGCCCCCAATTCCTTGGGCCTTGCCCCGCCTATCTGTGTAGTCCAGGCCCTGGTCCCTGGTGCTGATGGTGCGGAGGATGATGCGGCCTGGGGAGAGGCCTTGTAGACGGTGAAGAACCTTCCTCCTGAGTGTGGGTGTCAAATGGGAGTGGGATTGGCTATCAGTGGGGGAATCAGGATGCACTTAATAAAGCAGTAGGCAGAGAGGTTGTACCAGAGGTCAGAGAAGGAGAACTTATAAAAGGAGGGGCCCTTGGGCTTCCCTGGTGGCACAGTGGTTGAGAGTCCGCCTGCCGATGCAGGGGACACGGGTTCGTGCCCCAGTCCGGGAAGAGCCCACATCCCGCGGAGCGGCTGGGCCCATGAGCCATGGCCGCTGAGCCTGCGCATCTGGAGGCTGTGCTCTGCAACGGGAGAGGTCACAACAGTGAGAGGCCCACGTATCACACACACAAAAAAGGAGGGGCCCTTAATGGGGTCACAAGAATGGCCTGTCAGATGATTCAGGGAGGGGATCTCCCAGGGTCACATGAGGGGCCATCTCAAGGGTCAGGGGAAGAACTGCCCCAGAATCAGGCATGGAGACATTCTAGGGGTCAGGGGAGAGGTTCCCATGGGGGTGAGTGGAGAAGGGCTAACCCAGAAGTCAACCTTGTGATCCTGGCCAGGAAAGGGCCAGGGACCGTTCCCTGAAATTCCCTGTGCTTCCAACTCTCCCTGCCTCTGCAGGCTGCCCTACCGAGGCTACCTTGGAGGGGTGTTTGCCCTGCGCCCCATTCACTAAGTCAGGATCAGTGGCTTCCCCAGCACATACTGGGGCTGGAATTGGGAGGATGATGACACCACTTCCAGGTAGGGGGCCCTGCTCTAGGGAGCCTAGCACAGGGGGCAACAGGACCCTCCATGGTGTGGCGGACACAGGCTGCCCTAGACTGAGAGGGGACAAGAGCTATGTTGGATTGCGGGAGACGCAAGCCACTCTGGCCTGAGGGGCCAGGTGTGGCATGGGGACTGTATCAGAGGAGACAGGCATCTGGCCTCCCTGCCCTCTTCCCTGGAAGGCTGAAACTCAGTGGGATGCTCCTCTCACGGCCCCATCTGCTCTTTGGCTGCTACCATATGCTGGAGGGGCAGGACTGCAGCCAAAAGCAGAGCCCCCAGAGGTGAGTCAGGGTTGGGGGCGGGGGTAGCCAGTCCTGGGCCTGTTCCCAAGCCCTCGGCTCACACGGCTGCCCCTCCTGCCCCTCCTCCTAGTCCTGGCCTTCTGGGCCAGATCCGTCGCAGGTGGCGGCACGATGGTATGAACTCGCTGGGATACAGGCTGCTCTCCCAAGGAGCTGCAGCCCCTCTACACCAGCCTCACTGTGGACATCAGCCTTTCAGCCCCTGGAGCCCCAGTGCCAGGCTGAGGGGTATCTGGAGGCTGGAACAGAATCCTGAGACCGGGGCTGCAGGGCAGCCTTCCCACCCATCGCACCTGGTTTCATATTAAAGGAGGCTTTATTTTACTTGCTTCTCCTCTCTGCCATCCCTAACCCCCATCCTTTCATTTCCATTCATTTGGTCACACAGGGCCCTACTCAAATTCACCAAGGTCTTGTTCTCTCCACACAGTTAAAGTTAGGGCTTATTCACCCATTTATTTCTCATGAGGACTCGTGGGGTAGCACTGTTGTCATCTTGCTTTTGAAAACCAGGACAGATGAGTTAAGTATCTTGCCTGATTGATGCAGAAGCAAGTACAGAAACCTGACTCCTGGGCCTGTCCATTTACAGATTATGCTATTCCGCTTTCCTGTAGCAGAAAAGGTGGGGGAAAGAATGAATAATAAAAAATGTGAGGATGGTTGAATAAATTACAGCATGTCCACGTACTGACAGAATACTAATGTAGTCACTGAACAGCTGTATTGTAGCGTGAAAAGAACAAGTGCACATGTGTATATGATACAGTCTGATATTTATAAAACAAAGGGAAGAGTACCTATATAGGTGTATGCTTATGAGCAGGGTAATGAGTGTGTGTGGATAACAAGTGTTGGCAGACTTCTTCTGTTAGGGCTGGAGAGTAAATACTTTCAGCTTGCAGGCCATACGTCCTTTGCCATGACTACTCAGCTCTGCCACTGGCACAAAAGCAGCCACAAACAATACATAAACAAATGAACATGGCTGTGTTCCAATAAAACTTTATTTAAAAAACACAGGTGGCCAACCAGATTTGGCTGATGGCTGATGGCCAGTTTGCTGACTCTTGGCCTAAATGGTTAGGAGCGTGTATAAAAATATGAAAGAGTCCATAGAGTAAAAGTTTCACCATAGATGGTGGAGGTGGAAAGAGGGTAGAGCTGAACTAATCATGAAAGAAGAGAAAAATGACACTGTGAAGACTAGAATCACATTTATACATTTACCAAAAAATGTACATTCATCTGTGTATATATTAGGTTCTTTTAAAAAAATATATAATCTATTGACACCTCCTGTTCTGCAGTGAATTCTATAGCAAACACTACAGAATTGAGGGTATGTGTATGTGTGTATATAAATAAATATGCTGACCTAAAGATTCTGTCTTATACCATGTTCTACAGAAACTTCTCAATGCATTAGTCAGGGTTTCTTCCCCAAGTGAATTTTATAACTTTTAATAAGGCTAGTACAAATATGGACATTTCCACTCATTCTTAAAAGTTCTTTCCTGAGTAATTTCCTTCACATAAAATGTGTAACTTGGTGACATGCAGTGCATCCCTAGAGTTTTTCTGAAGCATGAATTCTATAATATATGATTAAATCTGACTCATAAGATTTTTTTCTTCAAGAAATTCAGAGTTTATTTCATTTATGTATATGCATATTAGGAATTGACTTCTGAGTAAAGCCTTGCACAGAATAACTGCTTTTGTAAGATTTGTCTCTGGTATGAGTTGTTTGGTGTTTATTAAAATTTGATCTGTTGTTGAAGCTCTTCCCACACTTGGAACACACGTAAGGTCTCTCTCCCGTGTGGATTCGTTGATGCACTTTGAGTTGTGGTTTCCTACTGAAGGACTTCCCACAGTCACAGCATTCGTAAGGTTTCTCTCCGATATGAGTTCTCTGATGTGTAATCAGTTCTGATTTCTGGGTGAAGGTGTGTCCACACTTGTAACAGGCAAAAGTTCTCTCTCTGCTGTGAGTCATCTGATGTTTATGGAAATTTGACCTACCATTGAAAGCCTTCCCACATGCAGTGCATACGTAGGGTTTCTCTCCAGTGTGGATCCGCTGATGCTCTCTGAATTGTGACTTGGAAGTAAAGGCTTTCCCACAGTCACTGCATTTGTAAGGCTTCTCTCCGGTGTGAATTCGCTGATGCATGCTGAGTATTGACTTCTGGTTGAAGGCCTTCCCACATTCACTGCACACGTGCTGTTTTTCTCCAGTGTGAATTTTCTGGTGTATGTTGAGGTGTGACTTTTGGGTGAAGGTTTTCCCACAGTCACTACATTCATAAGGTTTCTCCCCAGTATGGATTCGATGATGTATATCAAGTTGTGACTTGGAAATGAAGGATTTCCCACAGTTGTGGCACTGATAAGGTTTTTCTCCCGTGTGACTTCTCTGATGTACAATCAGATGTGCCTTCTGGATAAAGGCCTGGCCACATTCAATACACACATAAGACTTCTCCCCTGAATGGATCCTCTGGTGCAAGCTGAGTGTTGACTTCTGGGTGAAGGCCTTCCCACATTCGCTGCATACGTACTGTCGCTCGCCAGTATGAATTTTCTGATGTATACTGAGGGTTGAATTCTGGGAGAAGCCCTTCCCACATTCACTGCATTCGTAGAGTTTTTCTCTAGTATGAGTTCTCTGATGTCTGAAGAGAGATAACATCTGGAAAAAGGCTTTTCCACATTCATGGCATTTATGGGGCTTCTTTCTAGTGTGAGTTTTCTGGTGTGTAACCAGTTCTGGCCTCTGAACAAAGACTTTTCCACATTCCTTACATATATACGGTTTGTTACCTGTATGATCTGTCACATATACACCGAGTTTTGGTTGTGGGGTGAAGGCTCTCCCACATTTACCACATTCCTGGAGGTTTTCTACACTATGGAATCTCTGTTGTTCAAGGAGGTGTGACTTCTGGGTAAAGTCCCTCCCACACTCAGTGCACTTATCTGGTTTTTCCTGAGTGTGAACTTGATGTTGTGTGAATGACTGTTTATGGCCGAAGACTTTTGTACACGAATTACCTTCACGGAAGTTCTCTTCTGTATGAGTATTTTTGCAGCTGGCACTGGAAGAGCTGTGGGTGAATAGCTGACCAGATTCAGCCATCTCATCAGGGTGTTCTGTGGTGTTGCTTTGATTATGATGATTTACTTCTAGGTTAGGTTTCAACCTTTTTGCACAAGAGCAATGTTTATGAGGTCTCTTTTGTGAAGAAACAAAGTGGGGCCTCGCACGGATGATTTTTCCAGGGTCCTTATAGTCACAGTCCCTCTCTGTGTTCAATTTTTCCTTGTTGAGGAAAGCCCCCTGATGTGAAGGTTTACTTTGATTTTTCTGATCTCTCTTTGTTTGGTCAGCTTCTTCCCACAGCTTTTCTAAAATGGAACACCATGAGCCATCTCTTGTGACTTCACCCAACATCTCATTGTGAAATGAAGCTGTTTCAGAAATTTCCCATTGTAGGGTTTCATAGAAGGAGAAAAAGATGAAATAGATACAGTGAACGGTTAGCAAAGGATAAAGGAAAAGTCACATGGAGCTGACTGAGATTGCGCACAGGGAAACTGCTGAGTCATATACCAGTGGTGGTGCTGATGGTGATCATGAGAGAAAACAGTTGCACAGCCCTTATTATATGTCAAGCACTTATCTGTATAGCACTTAGCATTCGCCAGGCAGTGTTCTACGTGATGTACACATAAGCTCATTTAATCCTCACAACAACCTCAGGAGCTAACTACTTATTATCCCGGTTTTCCACATGAAGAAAAGGAAACACACAATGGTTAAGTAATTAGCCAAAATCACTTTGCTCAGCCTTGGGGAAAGTTAGATTTGAACAAGGGCAAACTGGCTCCACTCATGTAGGCAGTCTTGATACCCAGACCTAGTGGGATGACTACAGGATAAAAGACGCAACTGTGTCATAGGGCAGCATCTGTGGATAGCCAAAGGTTGAAGGAGGGGGCTCAGAGTACAGAGCCTCTTTGACTTACAGTGGGGTTGTGTCCTGATAAACCCATCAGAAGTTGAAAATATCATAAGATGAAAATGCATTGAATACACCTAACCTACTGAACGTCGTAGCTTAGCCCAGCCTACTTTAAATGTGGTCAGAACACTTAACGTTAGCCTGCAGTTGGGCAAAACCATCTAACACAAGGCCTGTTTTATAATAAAGCATTGAATATCTCATGCAATTTCTTGAATACTCTACTGAAAGTGAAAAACAGAGTGGTTATCAGGGTACAGAAAGGTTGTAATAAGTGTACTGGTTGTTTCCCCTCATGATCACACGGCTGACTGGGAGCTGCTGCCCAACATCACAAGAGTAAGGTACTGCATATCACTATCCTGGGAAAAGATCAAAATTCACAATTCAAAGTATGGTTGCTACTGAACATGTATGACTTTTGCAACATTGTTGAGAAATTAATAAGTCAAACCATCATAAGTCAGGGACCATCTGTATAGGTCTTCACTAGCTTTCAGATCTAAATTGTAACTAATCTCCCAGCTTCCTCCCACACATGAGAAACAATACAAAATCCATCAGCCCTAGATATTCCTCTGAAATACTATTAAAGTATCAATCCTGACATAGCCAAGCACTGAAAGAATACCTATACCCAAACTTGCAACTCTCCATGAAACTGAAGTTTGTTTTCTTGAACTTAGGAATATGCATATCCTAAGAAGGGTACACTGGAAGACTGGACAAGCAAGCTGTCCCCTAGAATCTGTTTCACCCTTCTTCCACAGAGGTTAACTGCGGCCAGGTACAGAACAGCCAAGCCACGTAACAGCTCACAATTTCTTTTGCAGTGAGATGTGACAGACACTGTTTTTGCTGATGGAATGTGCATACAACATGATGCACCACTTCTGGCCAGGGTAATAAATCATAGCTTCTCAATACCCTCCACCCCTTTTCTGCCTAGTAGAACCTGGCTTTGGGTACAGTGCATTCAGTCCCACAGAGCGACATCATAAAAGATGGTACTGCAATGACATGTAAAGCTTCCTGCTGACCTGCCTTTTAGAAGTGTTTTATAGGAGGGAAATTATTCTGGAAATTATTATACTGGTCCTTGGTCTCTTTGTTATAACTTTCAGCTTTATGCTACTTAGTATACCATTTTTTCCTAAGAATGGGAGTCACTGATCATCCTATTTGCTAGTAAGAACATAACAACATTCTTTAAAAAAAAAAAAAAAAAAAGTGGCTAAATTTTACTATTACTTTATCCTACCAAAGATATAAATACTGAGTATGATAAGACCATCACGTCTTGTTTCTTTTCTCTTTCCATCACTTGGATAAACTGTATCCCAGACCCCTGTCCTGTCCCCAAACCTCAGTCATCTATCACTATTTTTTAAAAATGAGAATGTTCTTTATAATCACTTTTAGTGTGTGTGTGTGTGTGTGTGTGTGTGTGTGTGTATGTATGTATGTATGTATATATATATATATATATATATATTATTATTATTATTAAAATCTGAGAAAAAAGAAACAAAGTACCAAGCTTTGGGGTAATAAAATCTGTCAATGGCATCTTGACCGAACTCATGATGACCAGGAATCCACAAATCCCATCAGGAACAAAATAACCCAAGCATGAGAAAATAGGGAGCTGGTTTATGGTGTTACCCGTGGAATTAACAAAAAGGGTCAATTAAATTGTACTTTCAGAAAGAAAAAATGGGGCTTCCCTGGTGGCGCAGTGGTTAAGAATCCGCCTGCCAGTGCAGGGAACGTGGGTTTGAGCCCTGATCCAGGAAGATCACACATGCTGCGGAACAACTAAGCCCATGCGCCACAACTACTGAACCTGCACTCCAGAGCCCACAAGCCACAACTCCTGAAGCTCAGGTGCCTAGAGCCCATGCTCTGCAACAGGGGAAGCCACCGCAATAAGAAGCACACACACTGCAACGAAGAGTAGCCTCTGCTCACCGCAACTAGAGAAAGCCCACACACAGCAACAAAGACCCACCACAGCCAAAAACAAATAAATAAATATTTTAAAATACCTTAAAAAAGAAAAAAAAGAAAAAATGGGGGAAATTCCCTGGCAGTCCAGTGGTTAGGACTCTGCACTTTCACTGCCTAGAGTGTGGGTTCGATCCCTGGTCAGGCAACTAAGATCCCACAAGCCGAGTGGTGTGGCCAAAAAAAAAGAAAAAAGTGGTAGAATTTCTAAAATAAGAAAATGAGAAGACTGAGATGGAAGAGCCAAGAAACAGACGAATCTGACAAAATGTATAAGGTGAGAAGAATTTCTGATTTGTATAGTGATTCCAATTTCTGAGCTCCCCAAAATAAGGAAGTGAGTCATCCCATGGGAACTGTCCACCATGTAGCTAAATAAGAGAACACAGTTTAGGCATGGGGCCTGGAGGGGTTGATAAAGGGATCATCAGAAAAAAATCTGTAGGCCTAAGTGTTGAGAATAGAAGGGCCCTTTAAAGGGATTTAAGGAATTTAAAGTAATTCCTCTATGAAGGGATGACCAGAGGTAAGTACAGAGGCTCAAGCTGGAGGCATTGCAGTTAGGGGTAAAGAAGAAAGATGCAGCACAGGAAGAAAATGGATGAATTCAGGGGGCAAATGAAAAGGAAGAAAAAAAGGCTTTCAGGAAATTCCACAAAGGGATAAAACAAGATGACAAAAGCAACATACAGATGGAATATCCAGTCAGGTAACATAATGATGAGATGCTCTGTTATTAGAAAAATGAAATTAAAACATGAAACAGCTCTATGATAACACAGGCCATAAATGAGAAATTTGGTAAATATAAATGCTGGCAAGCAAGATGTACAAATGCAAATCCTTGTGAATTCCCACATGACAGTGTGGATGGTGAAGCCCACCTGAAGAGCCCCATGGTTTACTTAGCTAAATTCAGTGTAGGCATATCCAGTGATCAGGCAGTCCCACTCCTGACTATTCACCTCAGAAATTCTTATGTTGGTCCCTACGGGACATTTACAAAATAATGTTTGGTGGCATTAGCCTTAGAAACTAGGAGTAGGAGGTAACCTGTGTCCACCACTGGGGGAATGGATAAGTGTGGTAGGTTGAATAATGGCCCCTCAGATCTTCACAACTTGAAAGTCACTCACCGTGATACCTCTGACGTGGGAGTTCAGCCTCCTGCATCCATTGCTCCTTTCCCTTTTCCATCCTGAAAATGACCTCTGGGTTGGGAATGTGATACCCTGTGAATAAGAAAGGATATTGCATTCAGACATGGTCTTGGGCTTTAGAGGCCATTCAATGAAGCTTTATTGGCACATCAGAAAACTCAACACCTTTCACTAGGAACAAAGTAACACTCCAAAGATGCCCAAAAGGAATGAACAGTTTAGGACAAGCCAAGGGCAAACTGACTACATTCTTCAGATGTCCCACTGCATGGCACAAGAAGGAAGGACGTCTCCTCAAGGAGGCCCGTCCAAGAGTCCCAGGTCAGATGTGCTCACCCACGGAGAAGAGGTGGCTGTAGATCTCCAGCATCACATCCTGGTACAGGCATCTCTGGGCAGGGTCCAGTTGCTGCCACTCCTCCCTGCTGAAGTCTATGGTCACGTCCTCAAATGACACGGAGCCCTGTAACAACATACCCAAGCTCAATTGAGAATTAGTCATCATTGGTGAACAGGCACTTACATACAAGGGTGTTTTTTTTTGTTTTTTGTTTTTTGTTTTTGTGGTACGTGAGCCTCTCACCATTGTGGCCTCTCCCCTTGCGGAGCACAGGCTCTGGACGTGCAAACCCAGCGGCCATGGCTCACGGGCCCAGCCGCTCCACGGCACATGGGATCCTCTTGGACCGGGGCACGAACCCGTGTCCCCCGCATCGGCAGGCGGACTCTCAACCACTGCGTCACCAGGGAAGCCCCAATGGTGTGTTTTTAATGATTTTTTTCGCCATGATATATATGGCTTTCAGTGATGTGACTTCTTTTATGTTATGATTCCTACTACTCTGTGTGAAATTCATAGGATTTAAGCGCAAAATGGGGTCACAGTGGCCAATGTGAACTTCCGCATTAGTTGTGAAATGTCTGGTATAGGGCTGGGAGCATCTCAGAGTGATAAACTAAGGATAGATAAGGAACGACTTTACTGGAACAGAAGGAGCAACTGAGTGAGACAAGATCCCCTGGGGTGTAACCATTACATCCTACGGACAGACTCCTTATAATGAGAGCACTGGGCCAAGTGGCTCCTTACTCCCCACCCCTTTTCTCCCTATTTTGACTAACCTGTGTTGTGTGCCAATTGTGTGCAATAAACTGAGTGACTTATTAATTGAATATTGGCTACACTGCACACATCTCTAATCCCAAGATTCTTACCTGGCCTCACTGCTGGGCCACGTGACAAACTGGCTCCTTTGTTCCGGACCTCGTCCTATATATCTCTTTATCTGGCTGTTGATTTGTGTCCTTTAGTTATCCTTTGTAATAAACTGGTAATCTAGCGAGTAAACTGGTTTCCTGAGTTGTGTGAGCCGCCCTAGTAAATTAATTGAACCCAAGAAGGGAGTTGTGAGAACCTCTGACTTATAGCCGATAGGTCAGAAGCACAGGTGGACGTGCCATTGGCATTTGAAAGGGGGTGGGGGGAGCCTTGAAGAACCGAGCCCTTAACAAGGTATGGGATCTGACACTGTCTCCAGGTAGACAGTGTCAGAATTGAACTGAATTGTAGGACAGCCAGCTGGTGTCACAGAGAATTGCTTGGGGTGGGAAAAATCCCTGCACATTTGGTGACCATAAGTGTCAGAAGTGGTGTTCTATGTAGAGAGAGACACACAGGAGAAGTAAATTGATTTCAGGGAATACTGAGCTAATCAAAATTTAACCCACCTCTTGGAAAGGTAAGCATGAAAAGCATGCATGTGAGTGCTGCAGGTGTGAGTATATGACAGAGGGCCAAACATAAACCTGGGAATCTGAGACGGAGCTGTATTAGGGTGTCATTAAAGGATTAGAAAATAAGTACCAAAACATTTAGTTAAAAAGGTAAAAATTGATTGCCTCTAAGGAGGTAGATTTCAGAAGAAAAGACAATGGTGACAGCTGTTTTACTTACAAGCCCAGCAAAACAAACCATGTGCAAATAAAACCCAAAATACTTCCAAGGGAAA